GACAAATGTCCTGGTTGGGGGGGGGGGGGTAAACGTGTGTATTCTGTACTCTACAGCATTAACCGAAAAGCTTTTGCTTATCAGTTAATCGCTTAATCAACTACATTACATCCCTAAGTTGTACTGTATCATGGAAATTTTGTTCTTTTCCTCCATACAAAAAAGTCAGTGAGACAATTTCAGAACTTTGAAAAAAAGATGGAGAGATGCCATTTGTAGATCTTGTTTTTCTGTGGCACAGAGCATACCATGTAAGAGTCAAGCATTCTCCTTATGCACATACAGTCAATTAAGTACATGCAGAGGGTTGCCACAAAATGCACAAGACATTAAAACTGAAGGGTTCAGATGAATTCCTCTCACTGTGGCATAAGGTACCATATTAAAAAAAAAAAAGTCTAGTTTCCACAATTAGTTGCTCCAAAGTCTCCCTCTGACAGCTATGTAAATGCAAATCAACAGGTAAAAGTTAGTGAAATTAGCCAGAAACATAATTTTTAACCAGTTCTAGTCATGTTATATTTCAGTCTAGATAACACAGAGCTTTGTAACTGGAAAAAGAGGAAGCACACAACCCAAATCTAGCAGCCTGTGATATGCAAGTTATTAAGGTCCGACCTAGTGATCTTCTCATGGGAAGTAAAGAAGGTGTATGGGGAAGGAAAAATAAAATAAAATAAAATAAATCACACAGGTATGTGTTCCATTCTTATTTTTTACTGTTATCTTTCCTTCACCTTACACTTCTGTACATCCTACCCATATCTTTTGTTGTTTATCATATGTGCCTCTTGGCTTTTCTACTTGCCTGGAGAACATTTACTCCAATGGCACTATATTAAATAATATGAAATATAAAAGACCCCCAATGTTTTGCTGCAGCAAATGAAAGTGTGAATGCTGCTTTGTCAGCAGGAGCACTCTCCTGGGCAACCTTTGTTGAAGGGTGAAAGTATTTTGTAGACCCGGGGGCCTAGGGTTGCCAGATGGTTTAACCAAAAATATCGAACAACCCTCCCCACCGCCCCACCCCCCCAAAAAAAAACATGCATGGGGGAAAAAATTCTGTTGAGAAAAAAAGGGGAGACCAAAATTGTTGGGGGAGGGGAGGGAAAAAGGACCCCAAGAGCTAAGCAAAAATAAAAAATAAAAAAAGCATGGCCCCTTTAAGAAATGCTTTTGAGGATTTTAGGCCCTAACAGGCTGCCAGTGGCCATCTACCATCTTGTCTTCCTGCTCCAGGCCAGCTCCCCTGAGGAACCCGGTAAGCACCCAGTATTTTAACTTCCTGGATGGGGGAAAAAATAATCAGAAATATCAGAAAATACCAGACATTTTAGGTGTCCAGTAGTTTCTGAATTTTTTTTTAAACCAGACAGAAGGCGAAAATACCAGACTGTCAGGGTCAATACCAGACACCTGTCAACCCTAGATCCAGCCGCCAAGCCTCAGGGCTCCCACCTCTGGTCTCCCAACATTGGGGAGCCTGTGCTAGTGCTCTACCCCTCACCCCACCAACTCCCCCATGGGGCTGCAGCAAACAAAATCTAGTAGCCTGCCCTCCCTCACAGGCTCTGGTGTGTGAGGGGATTGTGGGAAGAGTCTCTCTCCTCAGTCAGAGGACCCCATCAGTGAGGATTTGTTTTTATTTTTTTATTTTTTTGCTTCTCACTTATGTGCAGCCCCCCCAACTGATTTTTTTTCTGCAGGTCAACAGCCCCCGACCTAAAAAAAGGTTCCCCACCTCTGTTCTAGACAAACAATGTTCGCACAAACGGACTTATCAACAGGGCTGTATCAACACAGCCTTGTTGCCAAAGCTGTGTGGTGTAGACATACTCTAATATTCTGAAAAGATTCAAACAAGAATTAACTGTTCACCAGAACTTTCAAAAAACCAAAAACCGAAACAAATTTTAGCACTGGAGAACATGGCCATGAAAGAAAAATCGCCTAGCTTCCCACAATGTGTCACTGCACACCCACTAGCAAATGGGTTCAATTCCAAAAACTGAAATAAACACAAAAACATGCTGAGCATATTTTGGAACTTGTCTTAAGATTCCAGGATGTGTCATCTGCTAACCTACATTTCTACACAAAAGCAACAAGTAAAATACATACACAAACCCAGCTACCTGCACACAGTCTTTTACTGCAAAGTATTATCTTGAATTAATGGGAGTTTTGTGATCTTAAAAAAAAGATTTAGTCTGTTTTTACTATCTGACTTCTGAACAGATCTTTTACAAGATATCCAGCTAGCTATTATAAGACACACAACATATAAAGCCTACTTCTTCCGCCAAACTAGTTAATAGTTATATACTAAAGCAACTGAAAATAGTAAATGTCATGGAAGCTGAGTGCAAAACGCCAGCACTCTTGCCCATAGGAAGAGGAGAGAAATTCAGGAGGTTATTTAGGTGACCTTACACATTGTACACTTTAAATGGGCACTGGGGATTTCACCAATATTATTGTTACTACCATCAGGAGAAGTGGATGTTATGATGAACTGGGAAGGGGACAGATATTTATACAATTTTGACAGCTCATTTTCTCAAGAAGAGATCATAACCTCGTCTCCTTATTTATTTTAATCAGGATTTTTAAAACACTCATCACTTTAGCAATGAACGTGGTACCGCCACTGTGATCATGATCACCAATTTTAGTTGGTCAGTTTTCCAGTGTTATGCATACTGCAAGAGGAACCCCAATTTCCCTGTTTTCCTATAGAAGATTGATTACTTTGTGGTATTACTTATGGTCCCAAAAGAGTGCTGGATGCTTGACATACAGAGACACTGTAATCTAAACAGGTAAATTTGAAAACAAAATAATAGGGGTGGAACAAAAAGCAAATGGGAATGCTAAGCACACATGTAGTTTGTTCCAAGTTTTTGTTTTGTCTTATTAAATCTACATTGTTAGCTTGTGGTAGTCAGGAGTGTGATTTATAGGCCACAATAAGGAATGGTATTGTATGTTCTCTGTTTTATATTTTCACTTTCAAATAGAAAGTTACAACTCTAAGGCTATGCCTACACAGCAGTGTAATTTCGGAATAACTAATGTTATTCCGAAATAACACAGTCCACATCTACACACAAGCAGTTATTTCGACAATGTTGAGCTGGAGGAATTCTTACTCTGACTCCAGTAACCCTCATCATACACGAAGTAAGGGAATATGGGGGAAGAGTGATCGCTTTCGAAATAACCGTGTAGACTGCACCAAAGGTGAAACAAGCTACTAGCATAGCTCAAGTTATATAGCTTATTTCAAGTTCAGCCCTGCTGTGTAGACATGCCCTCAGTGAAATGAGGCCCTGTTCAGAAACTAGAGCCAATTTTAATCGTATGATCATATATAGCAGCTACTAATTTATCAAATGTGGCATTTACAAATCAGACCAAACTATCTGAAAAGGTGAATGCTAGGAAACCAATTAAAAAGTTTAAAAAACCCACACAAATAAAGCTTCAGAGGCGTAGCCGAGTTAGTCTGTATCTGGACAAAACTTAAAAAACAATTAATAGTCTAGCAGCACCTTAAAGGCTAACAAAACATGTAGATGGTATCGTGAGCTTTCATGGGTATTGAAAATACAGTACTGAAAATTGAAATACTCCAGTCATCTGAAGAAGTGGATTGTACCCACAAAAGCTCATAATACCATCAACATGTTTTTTTAGTCTTTAGGGTGCTGCTACACACAAATAAAGTTTTGAAATCTAACCAAAAAGTTGTTTATGCCTACCTATGCAATCTCTGGAACATTATTAATTCCACTTAATAATTACATCAGCTTCAGTTTTTCAGAATTCGCATCAGATCTCACCTAGTCTAGTTTTAGAGCTACCAGTTTATGTTGCCAACAGAGCAACTGCTACATCCAAATGAAGAAACACAAATCTGAATAAACTGGTATTTTTTCCAAATAGAAGAGTGTGTCCACTATATAGATATATTCTCTAATCCTGTGTCATTTGACCTGCCATTTATTTCACCGACCTGTTAGAATTAGAGAGCAAAGAGGAGAAATGGCAGTTTGCCAATTCTGGTGGCATATTCTCTGCTATAGGTAGAAGGGTCCTATCACTTTAAAAGGCTGTATCCATTTGAAATTGGACAACTATTCCCTTTAATTAACAAATTTATGTATACAAATTATGCAGGAGCAATAATGCCCCCAAAACACTTTCCCTTCCTCTCTCCCAGTCTGTTTCTTCAGATGAAACGTAAAAAATTCAAACAGCACAACCAAGTAACACAGCAATAGTGAAGATCTGGATGTTAAAGGTCTGCTTTTCATACTCATGTCACCTCACAAGAGACCTCTTGTCATCAACAAGGCTGCAGGAGCATAAGAGAGCTAACAATCACTGTGGACCACAGAAGTTACAGAGTGGGACCCAGACATCCCAGTGCCACAACTTTCTCCTTGGCAGCTGGCACACTTAGGACCTCTCAGAGGAGATTCTCTTAAGCACATCTGAGACCAAGCAGGTTAAGTGCACAAGATGCTCACCACCAGAGCTCTGAACTTTTAAGTCTTTACAAGTAACAAAGTTCCCTCAAATTGCAACTCTGATAAGAGAAAGGGGATGGAATCTTATTCATGGCATTCCCTCTCACCACACATTTGTATAAGCCAAGCAGAGTGCTGCACACTATTTATAGTATGATTACATGCGTCTTGTATAGCTGGAAACCATTAGCACAGCATGATAACTAAAAACAATATTTAACCACTATGCATGAAGACACCAGCTGGAAAAAAAACCCAAGAGAACTTTCTTACAGATGTCTAGACAATGAATTTAATAAAGTCAGAACGAGCCATCCTAGAGTAATGCTGGCTTTGCGAATGTAATGAACTGAAATTATCAGAGATAGTTCTGCAAACTACATTTGATTATAGTGAATATATTTTAAGACAAACGGATGAATTTCATTAAGAACAGGTATGTCTGAATAGCTGGAATCTTACCTGACTTCTGTCTTTGTCCACTTTCTTAAAACACTTATTTAATGACAGATTATGTCTCACAGAATTTTTCCATCCAGTGGGTGCATTAGCAAAATAAGGAAAATGTTCTAGGATCCAGTTGTATATATCCTTCACAGGCAGGCGTTTGGTTGGCGAGTCCTCAATGGCCATAAATATGAGGCAGCTAAAGGAATAAGGAGGTTTGCAGTTGGGGTTCTGCTTGGCATCATAGGGCATGTCCGAGTGAGCAGGAGAAGGAGGTGTGTCATCATCAATGTCCTGAACTGGGCTAACACTTCTTAAAACTGAGTCCCCAAAGCTTTTTAGCAAATTCTTGCTTTCGTGTAACCAGTTCAAGTTAGTTAGTTCTTCGTCCTCCACGGCCCCTTTATCTAATCGGATGGCAGGCAAAGAGAAATCTAGGTCCTCATCCTCATGAAGTGCCTTTGATAAATCGCTATCTTGGTAACACTGACTCAGTCCACTGGAAACACTAATTCCTGAGCCCTCCGGCTTCTTACTGGGAGGCATGACTGGACCCATTTAGACAGAAGCTCCTAGTAGAGTAAATCCAAAGCAGGGAGGGGAAAAAAAGTAAAGAAGATTAGCGCTGGTTAAGACAGATACAGCATTACATTTTGACAGCTTTTCCCCCAGTCAATAATTGGGCCTTTTATGTTCTACATTAAAAATAACAGGATCACCTAAACACATATCCAAGACTGTTATGTAATAGAGAGTCAGGAAAAGAAATGAAATTTCAGTCCTTAGGATAATACAATACTGATATGCCTCAGTTCTGCATGTACTCAAAACTCCACATACACACACAGAGAATACTATAGTCATACTGCTTTTAATAAGTATATAAACGTTTAAAAAAAAAAACAAAAAAACCCCAACAGGGTGCATAAGGCCACTTGCTTCAAATTAAGTTCAGTTGTTTTAGTTTTGAGGACAATACAACAGCATTGTGATACAAGTCCCTCTGTCTCCTCTGGCTGAGGACACAAGGAAACAAACACCAAATTTAACTACTGCCATAATTATGGCTGAGTTAAAAACTGGGAGCCAAACTTTTTAAACAGACATGAAGGAGATCCTGCAATTTGGAACCGGGCCAAGAAATACAGAGGCATGTACCAGAAAAACAGGACACTTCAAAGTTCATGTAAACAAAGGGGATTTTAACCTACATTTAAACTTAACTGAAGTGTGATAGCAATGAGAATCCATGAGAAATGTTATGTGTTGTAAGTGACCTCCAAGAAATATGGTGACAACATCTTTGGAGAATATTGTGTTAGAGGATTAGAGGGAGTGAGAAATCAATAATATTCAGAAGGACTTGACTTAGTCAGATAAGCAATCTTGCTTTGTGTACACGTCCAACTTGAAAGCGCTACTGCAACAGCACTTTAATGCAGCAGTGTGGTCATGGTACTAGTGCTGGGACAGAGTTCTCCCAGTGCTGTAGATAAACTATCTCCATGGGGAAGGTAGCCTGTCTCCACTGGCATTTTACAGAGCTGTAACTTGCTGTTCTTGGGGAGGAGTGGGCTTCACACCCCTGAAGAAGAAAGTTAGCAAGTAGTAACTTGCCAGTGTAGACAAGCCCTGCATGATTTCAACACAAACACGTTGGAGTAAAATTTTAAAAAAATTAAGTGGAGAGGGCAGCATGGCCAGGGGAGAAATGTGCCTTTAATTTTCATAAACAACGCTAAGGAGATGATAAAAAGATAGATATTAGCAGTGGATGTAAAATTATGGAGCTTTCAGTCCAAGTAATTAACAAGAGGCAAAAGATGCCTGCTTGTAAACAAAAGCGTAGGATATATTGTAGAATATATTAAGCACTATAATTCCTCTAAGGGACTATCAAGGAAACATTTGGCATACTAGTCATATAATCTCAATCTTGCTGGTGCAGTGGAGGAGAAATTATAACAACGGGCAACCAAAATCATACAGGGGCTGAAGCACCTTATCTACAGAAAAAAAGCTGAAGGGGATAAGGTGGGGAGAAGCCACAGCCAACATTCTGGGGAAAGGGACAAATGAAGTACAGAATGTATGGAATATAAAAGAGGAAAACAAGTGCCCCTACTGCAATTCTTTACACTGTACTATTAAACAGAATACACTTATGCAAAGATTAAAACACACACACACACAACTGTATGGCACTGCCACATGTACAGTAAAACCACTACAAAAAGCATAACAAGAGCAGCTAGTCTGAGACAGAAGCTACCTGGAAAAAGAAAAATATATTGATAGACATTTGGATAGAGAGGCTGAGCCTACATAAACACCACTGCCCAGACTTCAAAAAATAATCTCAAAGTCTGGAATATAAACACAAGTTTTAATCCAAAACCAGGGCCCTGCTCTTTGCTCACCTATGTTGCAAACTCAACTTTGGCTCCAAATGGAAGTTAGGCACCATGAGCTCCTGAACAGGAAAATTATATCATGGCTGACAGTAAAGTAATGTAATTGCACTGTTGCTATGACAACATGCTGCTCTCTTTCTGTTTAATTTGCTTATTTGCCAGTATCCTCCCAAAGGGCCATATCATGCCGTCCATTTTTAAGCAGAACTCGTCACTGAATTCAATGATGACTTCTGCTTAAAGACTAAGGACTTACATGCTAGTTGCTAAATTCAGTTATTGTTTTAAAAAGACAGAAGGAATCACCAAAAAGTCTCTTTAGAGTAACTTAATTTTTTCCCCCACTTATGAAAGAAGTTCAATAAGTGGTAACTTTCCTACAGTTTTTTTTAAAAATGAATAGAACTGCATTAGCAGGAAAACAGTCCATTCACAGGAACCTCCCCCTCAAAAAAAAATGTACAAAAGTTATCAAACTACAGAATACTTTTCAATACGTGAATTTATATAAGAAAGAGAGAAAGAGACAAGTTTCAAGTCAATCTGACTCTTTCACTTTTCAAGTAATAAGGTCACTTGCCTTTGTGGGGTTCTCAGAACTCCCAAATCCAATTGCAGTTCAGCAAGAATGGAAGATGCTCAGTACCTTGCAAATTAGGCCCTTAAGCATACTAAAGCAAAAACAATGTCATCATTTACAGTACAGGCTACCATATACTAGCTTGATGTCCTCTAAACTTTGTTTTCAACTATTTTTTTTCATAAACCACAACTGACTAGTTGTACAGAAGTTGACAAACTATATACCGAATTGCATTTCTATCTCTCCATATTTAGACAAAAAAATGCCTGATCACATGAGAGTTAAGCAAACATTTTTTAATCTGCTGCCAATTAGGTCGCTCCACCAGATACGTAAATAATTATTCACTGGTGAACTCCTCTACCAACTTTTCTGTTTGGTATGAGTTGCGCTCTCTTTCACTTCCCGTCACAGAGGAACAGAAATGGTTGAGAGGAAAAGAAAGGGGAGGGGGAGGGACAGAGAAGGTTACTACCCAGCAGCTATTAATGTGTTCTCCAGAATTGAAAGACACAATTTAGGCCTGGACATATGTTGTATCTTTAAGGGGGGGGGGGAGGAGTTGACAATGGAAAAAATAAAACAAAGAGGACGAAATCAGCCAGAGACTGGTTCTGCTGCACTTTGAAACAGACACATTGCAACACTCGCCCTGTACTTGTCAAAAACATTTGAAGGGGAAAAGGCACGCAGTGACTGGCTAGGATTTGAGTCAATCAATGGTGTTGCTAGGAAACTGGAAAACTGCTCTTATTCCTATACAGTGCCTGTGCCATTGGCAGTTGCAGCAAACATACCTTCAATGCTGGTCAGATGTCATAAACCTTTTATTGGCCTTACTGGATCATGCCATAAAAACAACTTATCAATATACCTCAGAAGCCTAAGGAGTTATGGCCCCAGTGCTCTGATCTAGTTTTCTGACCATCTCTTTTTACCGCCAAACAACGAATGGATTTTTTTAATATTCTGGCTTTGCTAGCAGTCTCCCCCACTAATACGTGAATAGGCAGCATGCTAGAGAGCCAGACTCTGCTGCCTACGGTGGCTTTTTAGTTTAAAGACAATACCAACTCTGTTCACCAAGTGTCTTAGGAATCAGGGTAGCAGTAATAGCAGCAACTAAACCACCACACATCTAGAGAATACATACAACTCTTCGATCAACTTACTCCTTTCTTTGATTTAGCTAGAAGCACGGACACGAGCCGCAATTCTGGAAGCCGATCAGCACGTTTTAATTAGTATAAAGCGCTGATCAATTTGCAGAGAAGGGATCTGCGATTTCCATCTAACCACACTGAGCTTTCAATGCAGTGCCTTATGCAATCTTAAAAAAAAAAGACACAACAACTTACCTGGCTTGAGAGAGGCTAGATTTTACCGCTGTCCTTTCATGGTTATTATGCAAACTTTCATCTGATTGAACAAGGCATCGTCTCCTCCCTTAGCCTGAGCCAACAACGTGCAGAGGGGGAAAGGAGTCCCAGGGCACAAGAGGAAATACAGTACCATGGGACCCTCCTGTAGTTTTACCTTCCGCCCTCCCTTTCTGCCTTCCCTCCCCCTCCCTCCTTTACTCCTGGTGGGCAGCGATTTGGGTCGGTGCTAGCAGAAGAGCGATAAATTGTTTCCACTGCAAGCAAACAAAAAAAGGCGACACATGACCAGGGAGGGAGGAGAGAAAGAGAAAACCTGGGCTGGGCCAGCACTCCAGCAGCCACGGAAGGGAGGGGAGAGCCAAGTGGGTGGGGGAGGGCGTTCGCTCTCGTTGCACGCCCGGAGATCCCAATTGCAGGCAGGAGGGGGAAATGAAGACAGCCTCCCTCCCCGCCCACACCCCCAGCGCGGCAGCTGCCCCGCAACTCTCCCCTCCCCCCCGCTCCACGCTCTGACTCGCTTACAGGAAATTCACCAGCCGCCTTCCCTCCTCCTCCGGCTCCTTTCACTTGCTTCTCCCCCACTTCCACTAGCTGACCCCTCTCCCCTGCTGCGAGTTACACAGACATTTCCTCGCTCTGGGGGCTCCCGGTTACGCGCCGCCCCTGCCCAGCCTGTCCCTGGCCCCCGGGTTGCATGTCCTGAAAGTCACCTCAGAGTTTCTAACTCAGGGCCCGTCCCCAGCTCGGCCTTATCCGAGTTGTTTGTGTGGTGAGAAACATTGCCTCCGTCAGTGCTTGCACTGCGCTCTGAAACTGCGGCGGTGCAGAGCCGTGCTAAGATCTGAAAACATCAGGGGGAGGCTGATGTTTGTCCCCAACAAAACCCTTTATCACAAAACGGTGAGAATTTAAAGAAGTTCAGACTTGAAAAAAAAAACTACGATTGATGGGGAGGTTACAGTAGCCAGGCCTCAAAGTTGTGTCAGAGAGCACTCGTGGGCTCTGGAATTCACTCTTTCACATCCTGATCAATCAAGTATACTCCTTTGGAGGGCACAATCCAAGAAACCTCTTTAGTCACCCTCCCCTGACAGTGGGTACTTGTCTCCCTCTGGCAAGCAGTATTCTGGTAGTACTGTTTCCATTTATAGGAATGCACCTCACAGGTAAAACATTATTAGGGCATCAATATTCGAAAACAAGACAACCAAATGCATTCAAATTAAAGCAGTGCCATCTGGGTGTACCCATCCCTCAACCCAGAAGAGACTGGGAGAGCAGACAAGTCTGAAAGTCAACAAATTGAAGGTTAGAAAAAACAAAGCAGGGGAAGCAAACTGCCTAATATTGAGAATGCTAACCCTAATTCTCCACTCTTTGCATTTTGTGCAGTCATATAATGGATGTCAAATGATATGTAGCACTTTTACACCAATTATGAGTAGGGCTAAGGGCTTGTCTATACTGCCACTTTACTGCACTGTAACTTTCTCAGCTCTGGCTCCGGTGGAGGTGGGGAGGAAACAAACACAGCGGCTCGTCTATACTGGCACCCTTTTCTAGAAATGCTTAAAACGGAACAGTTTTCCGTTATAAGTATTTCCGGAAAAAGCGTGTCTACATTGGTCCCGGAGTTATTGTTATAACGATGCGCTTTTCCGGAAAAGCGCGTCTACATTGGCGGCGCGCTTTTCCAGAAAAGCAGAAGCCCGGAACCATTCTGAAAAGGGCAAAAGGCCACCAGACCTTTCCGGGGGCGGGGGCGGGGCCGGAGCTCCGTTCAGACACCTGCTTAAAGGGGTCTCGCCGGACAGCCGTTGGTCTCCTGCTCCCGTGCCTTGGGACCTCTGCCAGGGACTGACACCCTTAGCAGGTTTGGTGGTTGCCCTCTGAGTTTTGGGGACACCACCCTTTGGCCCCCAACTGCTTTTTCCTGCGTTTTGTTTCTTCTGCCCTGCCCTGTCTGCCATGGAGCCATGGGTGGCCATGTGCCTGCTCGGGCCCCTGTTGGAGCTGTGCAAATACGTGCAGCTCGTGCTGCAGGCCGGTGCCCTGCTGTTCATGGACCAGGAGGCAGCGATCGCATTGGACTCCCTCACCAGGGAGGCCATGGCAGCCCTGTGGCATCAGCACCCTACCGTGGAGAGGCCAGTCTGGAGTTTGGACACCAGCACCGACTGGTGGGACCGGGTGGTCCTCGGACTATGGGACGACCAGCAATGGCTCCGGAATTTCTGCATGAGAAAGTAGCTGTGCACCTGGCTCACCCCCGCGCTGCAGAGAGCCACAACCCAGCTGCGGGCACCCATCCCCGTGAACAAGAGGGTCGCCATCGCGCTGTGGAAGCTGGCCACACCGGACAGCTACCGCTCGGTGGCACAGCAATTCAGGGTGGGAAGATCAACCGTCGGTGTGATCGTCGTGGAGGTAAGTCCCAGCGGGAGTGGGGTGAGGGGAGGGTGCTGCCCTCCATGCCCAGGGACAGCCAAGACTCCAAGCTGGGTCGCCCAGGGGTTTGGGCCGTTCCTCCCTTGCACAGGCCCGCTGGTGGGGGGGGGGGCGTGTG